CACCTCATATGGCTCCTCGTTCAATTCTTTCGAAATAATTGGATCCTTTTCTTCGCTCGAGAATCTCTTCCCTTCTTCCACTCCGTCCCGAGGAGTAATTAGGACCAATTCAGTCACGTTTTCATGTTCCAATTGAACACTTTCCATTTTTTATTATGATCAAAGGAGAAGATTCTTTTTTTTACCAAACAGATGCGGTTCCAATCACGATCTTATATTTTAATAAAAACAAGAGATCTTTCTCAATCAATTCTTTATTTCTATTTTCTCTCCGTCTCTTTTTTTCTTTTTATTCCCTTCCATCATTCCTTAAGTCCCATAGGTTTGATCCTGTAGAATCTGATCCATTTTCTCATCGAGCGAAAGGCATAAAATCAACTAGATTTTCTTTTCGATCAAAACAAAAATACTATAGTGAGTGTGGTGTTTCAGATCTTCGGTTTTTTCTTATTCCTCTATCCCTATCTCATAGGTACATCGTTTGAATCAACAGATAACCTTTTTTTCTGTATGAATCGATATTATTATATTCCAATTCCTTCTCGATATCTCCCAAGGAAAATCCCGAATTGAATCCCAAATTGTATGGTACATCGTTTGAATCAATAGATAACTTTTTCTTCTGTATGAATCGATATTATTACATTTCAATTCCTTCTCGATATCTCTTCAGGAAAATCCCTAATTGAATCCCAAATTGATGGGTTAGTGTGAGCTTATCCATTCGGTTATGCACTCTTCGAATAGGAATCAATTTTTTTAAAGATCTTGGCTTTCGTGCTTTGGTGGGTCATCCGAGATCCTTTCAATGACCTATATTAAGGGGTATTTATATGATCCGATCAATTGCGTAAGGCATGCGGTAGCAACCAAACAATTTATGAAAAATGATACTGTTATCCGGCCCGGCTATGCCAATAGGTGAGCCGAAAGGGTGGGATCAGCTCGTTGACTTTTAACGGTTTTGATCCCTTTTGGCTTGATTTCAAAATAGCTTGACGAACCACACTACTATATCTCTCTAGCGTCATGGGGCAGCGGACATCTCTCTCTCCCCCAATCGCTCGCTATTCTGTTGCTCGCATCTCTCTCTCATATCTGGTTCAGGCCTGCCCTCTCTCTCTCTCTCGCGTTTGTGCCCTGCCTCTCTCTCATTTGTGCCCCATGCCTCTTTCTCTCTCTCCCGAGTTTGTGTCCCCAACCCTCTCTCTCTCGTTTGTGCCCTACCCCTCTTTCTCTTTGTGCCCTCTGCTGCCTGGTCTCCCACTCTCTCTCAACATAGAAGACGAAGCAAGAAGAGGAGAAAAAGGCACAAATTCTTTCTCTCTCTAGAAAAATATTTTGTCTCTAGGAAAATCTTCTCTCTGATCACAGGAACCAGAGGTAAATTTTGGTTCACGCAATGGAAACCCTTTGCGGCCACAGGAACCAAAGGTAAATCTAGGGGAGATGGGTTAATGTTCAAACAGGAATGGCTGCTATTATTTTCACTGAAAGGAGTGCAGGCACCAGGATCTTTGTAGCCTTTCTTTGCCTTTTTCATGGAAATGTGATTTCCACTTTTGCCATTAATGGATTTTTTTTTAAGCTTCGAAGAGTTATCTTCCTGTAACAAACCCATGAAATCGTTTTTAAGGGAACAGTTGAATATTGTTGATTTTGTGCACTTTATGGACAGAGAACAAATAATATTTGAATGACATAGATATGCTCAATTCATCTTATAGACCAACCATTTCAGCATATGGGTAAATGCTCTAATTCACAGCATGTTTCAAGGGCTAGTCATATGAAAAGTTTGAGTAGATTGTTATGTTCAACTGCAAAGAAACACTTACTCCACATGAAGTCCCTTTTATTAAAATATATCTGATTTATATTAATGTACACTTGCTGATGTTTTCCACATGGTCTTGTGGTGGTGTTGCTGTTGTTCCATGATACATGCTTCTTCCTGCTGTAAGCTTCATCTAGATCTAAGATGCATTTGACAAACTTTACAGGTGGCTCCTTATGAACGTCCAGCACTTAGCAAGGGCTGTCTTTTTCCCTTATGAACGTCCAGCACTTAGCAAGGGCTGTCTTTTTCCTGAAGGTATGGGAAAACCCTTGAGCTTGAGGAGTTTGTAAGCATTCATACCTATTAACTATCATTTAAACAGAAAGTACTAATATTGCTGATTATGCAGTGTTCATGCTTTAATGTCTATTTGATTTGTGTGGCTATTAGTTGAATTTGCCTTATTTTATTTGCATCAAGTTGACACTTAATTCTGTATACATGCAGTGCGCAACATACTTTTACTTTCAGCCAATGGTTTAAAAAACGGATCAGTGGCCCGGATCGGGCACCCCAAAAACCCATCCGGATCAGTGAATCGGTGATTTGGATTGAAAATCGACCGAATCGATCGGATTAAGCTTTAAAAAAAATCCAAAACAATTATTAAAAATTATTATAAATGTTGTTTTTTAAGAATCCAATAAGAAATTGGGGTACT